TATTTTTTACACGGCACCCCTGCTCTCGACAGATGGCACCCGGTTGGGAAACACTGGTCTAGAGTGTACTGCCAGTGTAGCAATTTTAGAAACACAGCTCACAGAGAAGTCATTTTTAATCCAATCAGCTTTCTCTCTATATGACATGTTGTAAAATCTACACTGGTAAATCTTTATAAATTACTGATCATATAGATTTTTTTGGCAAAAAAAATAAAAGAATAATAATAATAATAATGTGACATCAATCCTCCTGGACAATAGTATAGGACCTCCTACTCACCTATCAATCATTGCATTAAAACACAATTTTTTAAATTTTTAACACTTAAAGTGTTAAAAAGTGTAAAGTGTTTCATTGCCAGATAATGTTTTATAACCAAGAACATCAACCATTTGGTTGAGATATCCCATTAATATCTTCAGTAAAGGGAAAAAACAAAAAAATAAGTGTTTAAGAAGTATTATCATCACGAATGAAAAAAAGCTACACGAAAATATTTTTGTCAATTGAAATAAAAATAAAAACTAACACAACTATGAAAAACTAAAATACACGAATTAATAAATATATATAAAAGGGACTACAAATTAAAAAAAAGAAAAAGAAAGAAACTGAAATTATGTAATCATTCATCATCATTTGTTTCTCTAAAATAAAAATCAAAATGAAAATTACAGATCTCTCCATTCTTTGTAAGTGGGAAAACTTGAAAAATAGGCAGTGTATCAAATACTTATTTGCCCCACTGTATATATATATGAATGATACATCAGGCTTCTGAAGAACATTTATTTGTGCATCTCTCAATCATTACTGCATTGCATTATAAGTTGTGATCATAAAACTAAGCATTAAAATATCATCTTACTAAGACATATTATTGGGAAATATAGAGTGGAATTCCGTCACCAAAACCTATGGCAAAAATTTTTTTTGTTGGCAAGCTTTATTCCCCATGACTAAAACGAAATCAACAAGGTCAATGAATGATAATGGTGACTGTATCAACATGCAATATCGTTGACAACAAAAGTTGAGACTAAAATGTATTTTAGAAAATAAAAACTATACCAAAATCTCTTTTTATTTTCGTTGAAAAAAAGGAGACAAAATATTATTGCCGACTGATGTATGTGCCTCTACTATGCAAGCTTTCATGTATGCGGTTGCCAGATATCAAGAGTTCAAATCCTTAAATCAGAGTGTCTCTGTTAGAAGGATATGTTTTTTGCCTGGTGTTTTGCTTCATTTTTGCAATCTGGCAACCATGTGCATGCACTTGCTCTTCATTACAGAGGTGCCGACAATGATCTGAAAACACTGACAAACAAGTAAGCTGGAGTTTAGCGATCTTCATGTGAGATGTTCGGCTTAAATGAAAGTGTCTTTCAGCCTGTCTGTGTTCTGTCATGAGATCTTGACTATATCGTTTGCGATTATGGTTGCTGAATAAATGCACTTACTCAACCACTGTTGTTTTAATAGAGAAAATTGTTGCCATTTGGAATTGTTGCACTTGCTAGGAAGAATTTCACTGAATTATAGTATTTTTTGTTTGTTTTTACCAGTTTTCATTATGTAGACAGAGAGAGTGCATATCTAAGACTTTGATATTAATTTATATATTAAGTAGCTTATAATAAATCAGTACAAGATGGGCTAAAATAAACCAAGTGAGAGCACATTCTATTGATTTGTGCTTTATTGGTGGAAGTGCAATACTTGAAATGGAAAAATTAATTTCTCAAAATGAAAACAATCATTGCAATTCTAATTTTAAGCAAAAATATATGTTTTTATTAATTTAATCTTTATACTGGTTTTCATTGACTAAAGGACTAAAATGCTCAGACATTTAGTCAAATAAAACTTGACTAAACAAAAACTGGCAACAGCTGTATTTTATGTAAGTAGACAACTATACGCACATTTTTTACAAATATTTTGCCTAAAAGTTAAAAAACTGAAATTTAGTTTTCCCATCCCACTGCCTTGTGTCTCATGTTTTTAAACATAAACATGTACCGTGTGAATGGCCCCTTAATATGCGTTCATAAAGGATGCATTCTTACATTAAAAACTCTCAAAATCAGTTTATTTCGTTCAACCAGAATCTTTAAAATGCAATGCTGTTTGTCTGACAATAAATTACTAAAAAGTAGTACTTACAGTATGCAAAAATGCTTAAATAGTACAAAAGATATTCAACAAACCCAAAAATATTGCACAAAACTAAAAATGTATTGTTGTTAAAATGCATTGTTGATGGTTGTGAATTTGTTATAAAAGCTCAGCTTTGATGGCTACAGCAGCAGTGCTTTGAAGGGGATAGATTTAAAGACTTAACATCTCTTAACATCAAGTTTAAGCGTGCTGACAGTCTCACAGCACGCTAAAACACAGCACGTTGTCAGCACACTAAAAACATCTAAAAATGATTCCTTTTAAAGCAAAAATGAAAATAAAAGCAACTAGTTGTCCATTCTGACTCATCCCTTGTTGCAATAGTGCAAACGACAAAGAAAAACAAACAAAAATAAAAAAGCCTTGGAAAAGTTATCACTATGTTCTCAACTCATCTATCAAAGACAAAAGTGCCCAGGCGAAACCCCACTGGCCACCTGACATTCTTCTCCCTTCCTCCCATGACACGAGGACTACATAAAAACAACATCCAGTCAGCGCGCTGCTTCAAAGCAACTAAAACACCCCTCCTTTCTTTCTCCCTCCTGCCTGCTTGGATCGTTTTCAAACACACACAATTTAATAAAAGATAGACGTTTAATCTCCTCCATTCCAGAACAAGAGCACCGCTGTGAAATCTGATCTCTGCTTAGTCTCAGCAGCCGGACACAGAGAGCCACCGTGGCTACGGCTAACGAACGGAACGCATTAAAGACGAGAGGATCGGATGGAAAAAAAGAGCGATGGAGGCTCAGACCACAAAAACAAAATAACAAACAAGATTTCACTTGCAAGTTTTTCACAAATCATATTAGGTAGGAAAAGCCAAGGTCAATTTTATAATATTCAGGGGTCGGCGAAGCAGCTTAGTCTTATTTGGATTAGCGAAGAGCGTATCGGGAAAGATGCGGAACGGAATACGTACAGCGGGCCTTGCCGTTGGGATCGAAATGGCTAAAAGAAGAGGAAATTACAAGTAGCGTGACTCAAGGGAAACGCGTCATGCATTCTCCGGACAGTTCCTCTTTCAAAAACTGGAACACATGTGCGAACGGACACAGAGGCTCAAACATGAAATGAGTTACAGCTCATCTGTTTTGCTACGTAGCCATGTTAACTAACATTAAAATCCCAATCGGTAGAGTTCAACCGACTCAAATGTTTCAAAATGTTGAGTTCACTGAGCTCATATGGATCGTCTTGACTCCGGGTGAGAGGCTTCATAAACAATGAGCTTAAAAACCGCTCGAACGCGGTCAACATACCGAGATAAGCTCCATTAACTTGCCCTACAGAGAAACACTGACAAGGTTAATGAAGATTTCTGGCAAAGGTGCAAAGCATTACATTCGTTCTGATTAAGCGGACGTGGAATGGATATGGTGGACGACAGGCAGGATGAAGAACAAGCTGTGGAGGGCATCTCGCAGTCAGACTACAAATGGAGGCATAGATCAAACATGACAGATATATAAGTTTTCCCCTCAGAGTTGGCTAAGCTTACATATCACTTCATAGCATGCACACAGCTACGTTTTTGTTCTTGCCGCTCGCGTGGGTCAGAGATGGAGCGATTTGGTCGACCTCCTTGCAGTCTATTCTGTATTTTTCATCTCCTCTTTATGTTGGGGCAACAGCTGGAGCGCAGGAGGCTTGGATTCCACTCCCAGAGTCACGGAGGCGTGTTAATATTGCACTTAACCAGGCAAACTGATTAAATTCAAGCTGTATAATTGTGACCAAAGCTGAACATTGAAATTGGATTTGAGCTATGGCTCAAGAGAGTCATTTTGTATGACGTTAATGCAAGTGATTCCACAAAGTACTGTCAACAGTTCTATAACTTCAGCTGTGGAAACGTAGAGATCAAAATCTCATCATAGAAGTCTAATTCAGGGCTTTTTCGATCTTTTTAATAGGGCCAACACCAGACATATGATGAGATAACCAATCCTTCTTCACAAATCTACTTTTTTTTTTTAGGATTTAATTTTTAATTTACAATCTAAAATTGTACAATTTTACCATTTTAATTTTTTTAACATTTAAAGACAATTTAAAAACAAATTATTTATATTCAGCAATGATGCCTTAAACTGATCAAAAGTGACAGTAAAGACACTTAAAACGGTTTTCAACATTGATCATATTTCTAGATCACAAAATTAGCGTATTAAAATGATTGTGAAAGATCATGTGACACTGTAAAAACTGGTAAAAAATAAAAATGTTGTATAAATAAATCAAATTTTAAAAAATAACGATCGACAGACAGACAGACAGACAGACAGACAGACAGACCGATAGATAGATATAGATATTTTTAAAAAATTACGCAAACAGCCCTAAAAATACATTTAGCATTTTATTTATTCATTTTTTTCAATTAGAATTTTCTGAGATTTATAGAAGCTACTTGAGGCCTCCATGAAGTTCCCTTACCCCAGTTTGAAGACCCAAGTCTAATTATTGGTCTGTGTTAACAAAAACACCAGGAAGTGCTTTTGTTGCGAGATACAACATGAAAAAAATCCATATTTTGCAAAAATATGGAAGTATTTTTCTTAAAAACCAAAATTAGCGTATTAAAATGATTGTGAAAGATCATGTGACACTGTAAAAACTGGTAAAAAATAAAAATGTCCATTGTATAAATAAATCAAATTTAAAAAAATAACGATCGACAGACAGACAGACCACCTATTAAGTCACTGACTAACTGGGCAACATCCAAACCTGTTTCGGACACACCCCGTGTAATCAGTCAGTGAGCCATCTTGATTTGTACAATGGAACATGCTGAGATTCTTACCTGGGCGATGTTTTTGTTGAGCAAATAGACACCGTATTCAAACTGGAAACGCTCTCCTCTGGGGTAGAGAGGGAACCTGCAAACAAGAGCAGCAAAGAGGCATCATGAGAAAGAGTCTCAGCACTCACCTCTGAACCATTACACATGGTTCCCATTTCAAACACAAAAAGAAGGACATTTTTTATGAGGTTGTAATCAGTTCATAACTTTGCACAGGACAACCTCACACCAAACAACGAAAAACAGCAGGTCATCTGGATAAACAGCTAACCAAAAGACCAAAGTCTGAAACTAATAACTGTATTTACAAACCAACGTTCAGAGTCAGAAATCGTTCAGTGTTTAAGGGTATTTATGTCTTGTGAAGTTAACCGAGCAATGATGATGCCTCAAACGCTTCACAAACTCCACAAGGCAACAGGCTCTTTCTGACGTAAGACATTTCAGCAGATGTTAAGAGACCGCCTGGAGCTCTGGAGCTCTGGTTCTGATCCGCTTCTCAAATGCATGTCTGAAACACAATCTATTATCCATTAAAATCATCACTCTGGCTTGTTTCTTTCGGTCAGTTTTCATTTAAACCACAAGCGTAATCATGATGCAGAAATGGCCGAACGGCACACAATATCAATGTCTACATCAGAGCAACGAATAATGAACTAACCAGTCAAGATTCACAACAGATGAACACGCTGGACTATTATTGTAATTCTGAAGGGTGCACATTGAAGCGTTTACTGAGAATTTAAGACTTCAGAAAAAAGCTTTTATTATTAAAAATTGTGCCAATACAATAGGATATACGTTCTAGAGATCACTGGAAGTCTGTGATGTGGACAACACTCATCTTTAGCTGATCCATTCATCATATTGAAGCAATACATCCATATAAACATTGACCATTAGCCAATAAAATATGAACAAGAACTAAATTTGCACTTCTAAAAAAGAAATATAAGTGCTTGCAATGCACCAAAAGAGTAGCATTAAAGTTCAATAGTGTTAAAGTTATCTTAGATTTATGCTTTGGTTTAATGTCATTAAAATAAAATAAATAAATAAATAAAAATAAAATAAAATAACAAAAAATAAGAATAATAAATAAAAAATTTCATTGACTGAAACAAGAACTAGATCCACAAAGAAATATAAGCGATTGCAAGCCACCAGAATAATAGGATTAAAGTACGATCAGGTTTTAGGGTTTGGTTTTCATTTCATTAAAATAAATAAATAAAAACAAAATAAAATAAAATATTAAAACAAAACAAAATAATAAATAAAATAAAATAGGAACAAGAACTATATTTACATTTCCATAAGAAAATATAAGTGTTTGCCAGTTGCTAAAATAGCATTAAATAGTAATAAAGTTTTATTGTATTAAAATAAAATAAAATGGAAAAACTTGTGTAAAAAAACAGTAATGTAACTGAAGTACCATTGGTTTTAATGCTGACCGTTTTTTAAATGTTTTTTTCAAAGTGGGCATTTCAAGCTTTAATCTTATATCTTTTAAATGCATAAAATTGATCAAAAATATTTATATTATTTTGTATAGCCAATTGTGGAAAAGAACAATAAAAACAGAATATATGAGGAAGATCAACATTATCTATCCAATTGTGTCAGCAGTTTTGTAGCAATGGCCACGTTTCAAAAACACGCAGACCTCCTGAACCAAACATCTTATTACTTTTATTGGAGAACATGGCCTGAAAAACCCAGTTGGAAAGTCCCTCTGAGAAAACTTAGGATGGGAAAGGTTCGACAAACAGACAAAAAGACAACTCGTGAATATTCTGCACCCTCCTCAAAGCAGCTCCAACTAACACCTGACATAACTCCAGTCCCCTAATACCAGACTACGACATTACTGCCCTGTTATTAAGAGCTTACACGGAGGGAGAGAAAGAGCGAGAGAGAGACAGAACAAGAAGAGGACAGAAAAGCCTCCAGCTTAACCACCTGTGATCAACAAAAACATCACCACTTCAACCACAAAGCTCTCCTGACAGCGCTGTCAGGCTTGTTAAAACACCGCGTGTGTGTTTTCAAGACTCCATACCTGAGGAATGCAGTTATGAGAGTCGCACGATTGTGAACGTGCGACGTAGTCATTCATCTTTTATTTTCACAAAACGGCTCAGTAGGAGAGGTCGTGGACTGGAACCGGTCTGGGGTCACACACTTTAGCCTACGGGCGGCAGACAACTACAACCCAGAGGTGTGAGTGATCTTCCGGAAGTTCCTCTGTAATCCGTGAGGCCTTTTTGTCAGTAGCACCTGGAACTCGTGCTTTTAATCGCGGAAGAGTGGAGACAGACCCAGCAATTCCCTCTACTTCCTGTCTTAACAATTCTGTCTCTTATACACATACACTTTCACATACTTCCTGTCCTGTAAGACACAGGGGGGCATAATCTTGAAGCAGGTGCACACCTAAAACCCTCAATGGACTGAACACACACACATTCACACACTTCAGCATGTCATTCATGTCACTTTGAGTGTAAAAGAGCAGAACAAGGTACAGTGTTGCATTGAATTCTTCACAAAAACCTAGTGAGCTTCCTCACTGCCTTCAAAGATGACATCCTAACGACAATAGAAACTCACAAGTGAAAACAGCAATATAGGCAACGCAAGACAAATTACCATAATAAATATATATATAAACAATATAAAACAGTCACTTTTTTTTTTTTTTTTAATTTGCAATACCATAATTTTCCGGAAAATTACTCACACCAAGTCAAAAGCTGCATTGACTTTCAGAAAAATTTAAATAATGTAAATATTGTTATATGATTACATAACATTATTTACATATAAAAAATAATATTGCCTTTTGAATACCAGTAAACAAAGCAAAATGTTTACAATAATTATAAACTCTATAAAAGTGTATTTTAGTTCCCCCTAAGGATCCAGAACAGAACAGGGAAAAACAATAAGTATAAAACTA